GGTGCTGAGCTGAGTGCTTCCCAGTGAACCCGTCGTGTGGAAGCGCGAGACGTTTCAGGATGAGCAACAGAGTTGACAACAGATTCCGCGCTCGCCTTAGCGTGCTGAATTTCGCGAAGAAGCAAAATTGGGCTCAAACGTCTATGGAGTGTTTGCACTGGACCCACCGCTGCCCCAATTCGGAGGTGCCAGTAACTGGAATTTTCAAGAATGCTTTCACGCATGACGAGATTCCAAGCCCAGTGGTACTGTCTAAAGGGAGTCAGCGGTGTGGCCACCAGCACACAAAGGCGATGATGAGCGCGATTGGTGCCGACTAACTTGGAGGAGTGGGGTCGAAGTAGCTCTCGAGCAGAGGACTGCTTTACAATGCTTCGATTACTCTTTAGCTCCTCATAGTGACTTCGAGAGCATCCCATTCTGCGTACTTGCATTTCCTCGGGAAGTCATCACTTCTGAGCTAGGATAGTAGCCGCTTGACTCTGCTATGCAGGCAATGCACTCCCTGCCCCAGTGTTGTGACTTACCCTCACTTGAGGCACAGCTCGGAGGGCACAGGTGAGTCGTGTGATCAACTCGAAGGTGCTCACTTCTGCTCACGCTACCGGTGTTCTGACTTGACCTCCGTTGCCTCTTGACTACACTTCAGTTGAAATGGCTGCTTTACACGTACGTGAATGCTACATCTCTCCCACTGCCTAGCCTATTTACAGCAACACGTCTCCTTTCGCCCCTCCTCCTCTTCCCTCCCTCCCTCCCTCCCTCCCTCCCTTCTCTTTTCAGCACATCCTACTCTCCCATCCACTCACCCATACACGAGCTCCTTTCGCTGCTTGATTGAGTGACCTGGGTAGTCAGGCCTTGTTGATGTTCACACCTAAGAGGGGGCATGGACGTAGCTATTTGGTTCAGTCACTACGCAGGACTGGTAGATGAGCCGAATGGGTGGTATGGTATCGAGTAAATAAAGGTGTGAGCTGGAATTTCACCGAGTGTGGTGAATGGTCGAGTGGTCAGGTGAATGCGACTTCATCACCGACCCCTCTACGCACTAATGTGTGCGCGAC